CACACACACACACACACACACACACACACACACACACACACACACACACACACACACACACAATGCAGTCACGAACACATGGACATAAAGTCTCTCCCTCTGTCTTTCATACACATAGGCAACACACAAACAAGGGCATAGACAGACAGAGACAAAACCACGCGCGCAGACGAATGCATGCAGGTAGACACGCAGAGACGTACGCAGAAAGGGAGAAGATGCAGCAGAGAGATTCTGAGGGAGGGAAGTGATTGCCAGCCGCACGTACCATGCCGTGAATCAACATCCAGGGATGAACGCGAAGCAACAGACGTGGACACGGCGGGAGACACGCGCCACGTTGGGGCACGACATCGCAGAACATTCCCCCCGCTCACCGAGCCACTCAGGAACCGTTGCCCTATCAAACACCATGCGCCCAATCGTAGTCGAATCGTCAATGCTTCGCCACGTGTCATTTCTTCAATTCGTAAGCACCGTCTCTCTCTCTCTCTCTCTCTCTCTCTCTCTCTCTCTCTCTCTCTCTCTCTCTCTCTCTCTGATAACAAAAACACAGATTCAGATTCTTTTCATCCCGGCTTGGCTCCTCTAGCCAGCCACCATTCTCGACTCTTTGCTTGAGACGTGTCCTTTCCTGGGAATACAAGGCAAGCAAACGCCTGCAAGAAGCTGAAGGGAAAGGCTGCTGCTTTTCGTCTTCCTGTCTTTTTGACCTGATGATTACGTCCACCTGTCTCCCTGCACTGCTCTCGAAATGACTTGATTGTCAATTCGTAGATCGGCCCGTCACTAGACGATCAGCTCGTGCGTGCATCCCTGAGCTGGTCCGATGACATGGCGTGCCATCATGTTGTTGTACGTCACCAATCCAAGGACCTGGAAGCAAAAAACCACCCGCAGAGCTCCCCACCCCTGTGCCGGGATGCTTGGTTTCACAGTGTTTCACACGACGCACGCACGCACGGTCGGGCTGAGGTGGCGGGCCATGGAGTTTTGGCCAACAGTTGGGACTCCAGGAGGTGTCCCAGTACTGTAACCAGGTACGGCTGGGTCCTTACGCCTAAGGCGATGTGTTGCTTAGCGGTGGGCCTTGGCCCTCGGCTGCCGTTCGACTCGGGATTGTCGGTCTGTTGCCTGCGGGGGCACGGGGAACGCAGCCCTAAAGACCCTAATTTTTGGGAAACTTCGCATCTGTACCCCGTCCAAGCGCCTACCCTGCAGCTATACCCTCCCCAACTTTTCCACTATGTGAAATTGCATTTAGAAGGCGAGGTATCTGGCCCCCTATTGGCTCTAGCCTCTGGGCCTTTACTGACCAGCGTGCTGCATGGCGGAAGAAGCCGTAATCTGCAGAGGCAGCTGACGTGAAGTTTTTCAGATATCTGGCTGAAGGCTGAAGCGGAGCGTTACTTACTCTGGATGGCGGAAAGCTCAGTAACCGGAGGACGCCTTGGTGCGAAAAGAACTGTGGCGACGTCACCCCCAGGAGGAGGTACTACCGGAGTAAAAGCTTCAGACTCACTGGGCTCTGGAGGATCGGTTTCCATCTGCCATGGGGACTCGGACTTCGGAGGCAAGGGCAGTCAGCGGGGGGCAAAAATATTGGCCCCAAAGAGAGTATGCCCAATAATGGCCTGCCCAAGCACTCGAGAGCCACTGTGGTCTTTTCGGCACCAAGCAGCATTTGCACGGAGGAGAATTTCATCGTGGTTTTTGTTTCTCGACTGATTTTCACACATGCTAACGGCGCGATTCACCTCCCGGTACGTGCACAGCAAGCAATCAGCTGACATGTCCATTCTCTGGTTCGTGACTCTCCACGCGAAAATTCGGGCATTTCGCTTCCAAGGTGAGCAGTACAGGTGAGACCCGTCCAAACCAGATCCCTTAGCTATTCCCATCGCAACCTTCCATAGCTAAAGCTACCAAGGAACCAGAATAGACCTTAAACCACCAGTACTTCCAAGAGTAGTGCTCGTTAACGCGCCACGATTTTAGGAAACGTACGGGCTACTACAGGAGTGGCCAAATTCATCCGACTCGGAACATTTCTGTATTTTTTTCCACAGCCCATAGTAGTTGGGCCAAGTACTGGTGGTTTAACTCATAATTTTCACCGTTTAATCCTTACCAAGCTACATAGGTTTGCCTAACTTAGGTACTTCAGACATCACCCCATAAATTAATCATAGCTAACAGGGTTAACTCTGCAACTTATCTTCACTCTCAGCTTTAGTTACTTAGCAACCTTTATTGTTTTCATTCACTCCACTTTTATTCATCTTACCGATCCTTCTGTTTTTTAGGAACTTCACCATAGCAGGATAAGTTAGGTCAGAACGATGTAGTAAGAAGTGTACGAGAAACGTACATTATTCACAAACTAAATCTTCATCCGCCAATCTGCTAGCAACCAAAGGACTGTTCATGAGCAAAACTACCTCTAAGGAACAGAGAAACCCTTACAAATGTTTCCTGTTGTATTTATAGTTTCACCCAAACCGTCACTCCAATCCCTCGTTTGAGAACCTTTTATGTAGCCCCTTCACAAACCTGTAACATCTAGAGTTGGGTATTACGAGCCAACATCTCTGAGACCTTTTTACACCAAAAAATAGCAAAGAGTACCAACCAAGGATTTGCACCTTCGGCATCACCGATTGCACTGCTTACCAGCAACTAGGGACTCGGGTAGAGCCTAACCACAACGGAAAAAAAAAAAAACACTGGACTAGCAGACATCTGTAAGAATTCGGTAGGTTTCATAAGTTTTCAGCCATAGCCCAACCTTGTTAAAGGAGGGGAATATAAAATATAAAAAAATTCATAAGCAAACTACAACTTGAGGGTAGAAGTGACGAGGAGGCTTATCTAGATGAGCAACGGAGTAAGAGAATGACACTGTCAAGGTTTTAAAGGAGTATCGATTATTATCTTCGGAGGATGAGGACAACTCAACAGGATTGTGAAGTGAAATTTTTCGATTGGTTAGTAGAAAGATGGTTACAATTAGATTCACCTCACCTTCGTTGAGGAATGGACTGCCCACTGCACCATAGAGGTGATAAAGCTTTTAAATAGGAAAGTTCAGAGGAAGTGAGTTACTGCTCATGTATCTGTCAACTCGAAGTTTGAAAGCGGTCAAAAAGCACGAAGGAGATATTGGAGTTGAGCAAACCGGCAACCCAAGGGACGACATCACTCCATAACATGATTCAGTTGCACAAGGTCAATAAAAAAAAAAAAAAAAAAAGGTTAAACCACCAGTACCTCTGCCAGTGTTGAAAAATTACAATGTACTGGTCTGTCCCCGAAGAAATCGGTGGTGGGGCACAGGGTCGGCGAGTCCCATAAATCTTAGTTTTCTTTTGTCTGCGTGTGAAAAAAATAGGGGAAAAAAAAAACTTATATATTGCAATAATGTCGAGTAGGGTATTCTAGGAGGTCGTGCTCACAATCTTCCTCTGCAGAATGCATCCCACATCAAAGACGATCACATTCTGGAACTTGTTGTTTTCTTTTTTATTTCTCGATTGTTTATTATGAGTCCCCTGACAACGAGGCAGGGCAGAATCCGTGATCTGTGCTGACTTTGTTTCCTCAAAGGATTGCAACCCTGATGTATCCAACCATTTTTACGGTCGAATGCGTATTTCCGTTTCTTTTTTTTTCTTCTGTTTTTGAAATCCGACAATCTGAATCCGTGATTTGCTCGGGCTGTGTTCCCGCAGAGGATTGTAACCCTCAACACACTAACACTTAGAGGAACGTACCTAGCCATTTTCACGGTCGAATACGCATTTTTGTTTTTTCTTTGTGTGTCTTTTTGGAATCTGACGACATGGCCACAGGGCTGAGATGCCCTAACTGAGAGCACACTCACACTACCACTTCCAATAGTGTATACAAATACAATCACGACCAGAGCATTGTTTCCTTTTTTTTTTTTTTTTAGTTTCACGGCCGCAATTTTTTTTTTTTTTTTCCTTTTTTTTTTCTCCTCGAGAGAGTACTATAAAGAAATGGAGTGGGACCCAGACTCGGCAAACTCAAAGCGCAGTGAAATTCAGAGTCAGCAAAAACAGGCTCGGAGGTACTGGTGGTTTAAAGAAGAGAACGATAATATATAAAGAAAGAGAACGAGTAGGGAGATAAGAAGTAAAACCGGTAAGAGGTAAGTGTCGGACACATTTTCGACCACTTTTCGAAAGACAAGGCAAAAAATCAGACAAACAATCGAGCAATCCTCAAAATGTGGTGAAAAATTATTTCTTACAAAGATCTTGTTATAGGACTATAGTCATTCTCAATAAATTTGCAAAAAAAAAAACTCCAATAAAACAAACTCGAAGATTGTAAAAAAACACTTACAGTGAATTCTGGCATATAGGGCTATATGTCGTTTTCAACATTTTATAGACTGTATAAAACAATTTTCAAGTCAGCAGTAAAATCACTGTTAAAAAATACATGTTATGTAAAATAAGAGCACATACAACTTTTGTCTCATAGACATCTTCAAATTCTTAGTCAAACGAAAGTTAAAAAAAAAAAAAAAAAAAAGTTAAAAAAAAAAACATTTAAAGAAAAAGAAGTTTGCCCACATATCGAAAAATATATGATGGCAAACGTATTCGCAAACAAGCTAACACATATTTGTGTTTGGCAAAACCTCAATTATATTTGTCGTAATACACAACTTATACACACGAAGAAACGTCAGTGGGACTTCAAGAAGATGCTGATTGAACAAAGGGAGGAATACGAGGCCAAATTGAAGAAGCTCATGGCGCAAAATAAGAAGAGCTCGCAAACCGAGGCAAAAAAGAAGAAAAAAAGGGAAGGCCCCGGCGACTGCTTCGTCGAGTTCAGAAGACGACGAGAAATCGGAGGAGGAAACTCCGCTGAAGGATAAAAGAAAGAGACACGGGAGCCGCAACTAATAGCCATAAGTTGTTTGATGAATGAGTTTTCTATTGAGAGCATGTTCTTTGAAGTGCTCGTATACTGAGTTCATTTGCTATGGACTAAACCCGTTGCAGCTTGCTGCATCGATCACTTTCTACCTACTCTGAGCTAACATCAC